CATAGACTTCATTTCCATTTTTTTTCTTTTCTCATAATTTTTCCTTTCCCTTCTTTCCTTTCCCCTTCCCCTCCCACCACCCCTACCTCTTTGGACCTTTTTTCCTATTTCAAATTATCAATTATTCATTTTAATCATTTTAACCCTTATTTACACTTTCAGTTTCTCACAAGAGAGAAACTATTTGTTATTTACACACATGTGTCCTATTTATTTCACTTAAGAGCACGGCCTCATGGGCCGGGGATTTAGCTCAGTGGTTCCACCCCCTGCCTCGCAAGCACAAGGACCGGAGTTTGATCCCTGGTACCAAAAAAACCCAAAACAAAAGAGTATGGCCTCGATATGCATCCATTTAGCTATAAACGTAAGTCAATTATTTTTAACTGACATCTAATAATTATACATATTTATGAAGTACAGTGTGATTTTTAAATTTTTTTTGGTACCAGGGATCAAACTCAGGTCCTTACGCTTGTGCAGCAGGCGGTGGAACCACTGAGCTAAATCCCCACCCCTACAGTGTGATATTTTGATACATGTATACAATGTATAATGACCAAATCAGAGCAATTAGCATATCAACACAGGGAGACCCTATCTCAATACAAAACAAAATAAAAAACAAAACAAAAATAACCCCCTAAACTAGAATCCTTTCTTGTAGCTATTTGAAATATAGAACACAGCATTGCTAACAAGTCACCCTACTGTGCTGTGAAACACTAGGATTTAGTCTTCCCTCTGCTGCCTCACCAGCCCCCTCACTCCGCTCCCCCCAGCTTCTGATAAGCAATATTCTACTTTCTACATCTGGTACCTCAACTTTTTTTTTTAATCTTCCACATATGAGTGAGAACATGTACTTGTCTTTCTGTGCCTGGCTTATTTCACTTCACATTGTATTCTCTGGGCTTATTCATGTTTTTGCAAATGACATGGTTTTGCTTTAGCCATTCTTTGGTTAATTCTGTATGTTAGACGTGAATAATGTTACAGTAAACATGAGATTATTCTGGCCACTCAGGTTCATGCCCACAGGTTCTTTTGCTGGCCCCGATCACAACAAAGTACTATAGATAGCTAAATTAGATAGATTTTATTTTTTCCTGTACCAGGGATCGAACTCAGGACCTTGCACTTGCCAGGCGGGCATGGTGCCACTGAGCTACATCCCTGCTCCTGTTAGACAGAAATTAACGGGCAGTCAGGGAGGGATCACCCCTCAAGGCAATCAGTGCAGAAGATGAGACACACCAAGATTGGGGCTGGAGGCGAACCTGAAGAGAACCGGGCCTCAAGATGGAGACGCAGCAGCCAGGCACGAAAGCCTCGGTAGAGATAAACAGCAGCTCGAAATTATACCATAATTAGCACCACCTGGTCCACTGGGCCCAACTAGGCCTCAGACGAGCAGGTGGGTACCAAAATGTCTAAACCCATCTGCCAGCCCTGTCGAGGAATGCCTAATGTGCTCGCCATATTCCCTTGCTGTGTGCCTCGTCTCCTTACTGGATCGTTATCAGCTAAATTTATAATCCTGTAGGTTGACTGTGGCTGACCCATGTTGTACCGACATTGTGATTTTGCTATATACAATATCCTTGGACAGAGCCTCCTCGGGATCCCTCCTGGAAATCAGGAGCTGTTCTTAATTCCTGACCGCCTCCTACGGTTCGCGCCTTCACTCCACTCTTGTGGAGACCACGAGCTCCGCACACCGGAAGTCTGACAGGCTGGGACTTCCGGGAAGATGGCGGGGGGGGGGGTGTGTCACCGGAAAGACCCTCTGGAGACTCAATAGGGTGGGAGTTATTTTCCCTGTCACAAAAGGGAACAGGAGAAAGGATTACTCAAAGCTGGCTCCGAGGCGATGGGGCCCCTTTACCCCACATCGCCAACTCCCGCACAAGTAGGTCGGGCCTCAGGCTCCTTCCGGCCTCCCCGCCCGAGGAGCGGGAATGGAGTCGGTCCCGGGCCCCCCTCTGCTAGCTCCTTCCGCAGGGGCGCTGAGGCTGGAGGGGCGGAGAACCTTGGTAGCGGCGTGGCATCCTCCGGGCTGGCGGCCCCGCAGCCCTCAGGCCTCTTCCTCCCGAGGAGACGCCCAGTCAGCCCCACGAGCCCTTCTGCACACTGGGGCGCAGGGGGAGCAGGCAGCACAGCCCCAGGTCACGGGCACCTGGGCCGGCGAAAGAGAGAGAGGAAAGCCAGCCACAAGGTAGGGCTGAGGCAACAAAGCGGGGGTGCGGTGGGGGTGAGGAAACAGGTTTAGGATTTTAAACAGGGTACCATGCAAAAACACCCCAAAAAGGTGACATTTGAGCAAAGATGAGAGAAAGAGAGCCATCTGGGTATCTGAGTGGGTATCTAGCAGGCACCACAGGCAGTGCAAAGGTCCTGAGGCATTTGTAATCTTCCAGGAACAAAATGGAGGCCTAGGTGGCAGCACAGAGGCAGTGTGTGTCAGAGCGGTAGGGAGGGGTCAGAGCAGGTGTGGCCAACTTCTGCATTTACTGTGTGGATTGGCAACTGTCAGGGTTTAGAGCCTAGGCGGGATGAGATCATGCTGTAACCAGTTCCTTCTGGTTGTCTGTGGGAAACAGGGTGAAGAGGGATGAAGTCACCCATAGCAGGGACCCGCTGGAGCCCACTGCGTAAGTTCACAGAAGGGAAGATGGAGGCTGAGGCGGGAGGTTGAAGTAAAGGAAAGAAGAGCCGTCAGATTCTAAATCTTGCTTTTTTTTTTTTTGGCATGCTGTTTTATTTTGAAAAACTCAAACTTATAGAAAAGTCCCAAGAATATGATACAAGGGCAACTGTAGCCCAGTGATGGTGAACTTTTGGAGCTGAAAGTAACAGCTGACTAGGCACGCATGCTGTAGGCTCCCACTGCTGCCGTCAACCCTTTCTGTGCTTCAGCACCAGTGAGCATCTTCCTATATATGCTGCATTTTTATCTCCTATGTTATTATTTTACTATTATTACTGGTATTGTTATTATTGTTGTTCAGGAGATTGACTGAACTCAGGGCCTTGTACCTGGTAGGCAAGTGCAGCATCACTGAGCTACAGCCCCAGCCTTTTTACTTTTTTTTTTCTGGTACCGGATATCGAACTCAGGACCTTGTGCTTTTGAGGAAGGCTCGGTGCCACTGAGCTAAATCCCCAGCCCCTTTTTACTTTGTTTTGAGACTGAGCCTCCCTAATTTCCCTAAGCTGGCCTTGAACTTGCAATCTTGCCTCCAAGCAACTGGGATTATAGGTGCGTGCCATCATGCCCAGCCTGTTATTACTTTTTTTTTTGGTACTGGGGATTGAACTTGGGTCCTTGCGCTTGTGCAGCAGGCGGAGAAACCACTGAGCTAAATCCCCGGCTCCTGTTACTACTTTTTCTGTGGAGCAATTAAGAAATATGGGGCGGGGATTTAGCTCAGTGGTTCCGCCACCTGCCTCACAAGCACAAGGTCCCGAGTTTGATGCCCGGTACCAAAAAAAGAAAAAAAAGAAAAGAAATGTGTCAACATAGTGATCATTTACTCCTACATACTTTTAAACATGCATTTCTTAAGAAAAAAAGTCATTCCCTTTCATAACCATCATTTACTTTCAAATTCAGGAAGGCTAATATTCAGTACTAATATCTACTGTACAGTCCATATTTAAATTTTGCTAATTATCTTGATAGTGTCCTTAATAAGAGTACACCCCCTCATATATGATTCCATACTGCTGTTAGCTGTCATTTCTCTTCACTCTTTTTTTTTTCGGTACCCAGGATCAAATTCGGGACCTTGGGCTTGCGAGGCAGGTGCCGGAACCACTGAGCTAAATCCCCAGCCCTCTCTTCACTCTTTTAAGTTCCTCCCTTGGTCCTTTCTTTTTTTATCTTTTTGGGTACCGGGGGTTGAATGCGGCCTTGCCCTTGCGAGGCAGGCAGCAGAACCACTGAGCTACATCCTTGGCCCTCTTGGTCCTTTGTTTTTTTCTTTTTTTTTTTTCCCACCGGAGGCAAGGCTTTATTGAGGAAGGAGCTGGTGGGCTACTTCGAACAATGGCGAGAGAAGAGAAGACTCTTGGTCCCTTCTAACTGACTTTTTTTTTTTTTGGTACTAGGGATCAAACTCAGGACCTTGTGCTTGTGAGGCAGGTGCTGGAACCACTGAGCTAAATCCCTGGCACAACAATGAAATTTTTGAAGAGTACAAGCTAATTGTTTTACAAAATTTCAATTTCTTTCCTTCCTTCCTTCCTTCCTTTTTTTTTTTTTTTTTAAGTACTGGGGATCGAACTCGGGTCTTTCCTTTGATGAGGTATCAGCTGGGCATGGTGGGGCATCCCTGTAATCCCAGCACTCTGGGAGGCTGAGGCAGGAGGATTGCAAATTCAAGCCCAGCCTGGATTTGCCAGGACCCTAAAATTTAAAAAAAAAATAATAAAAAGTCTGGGGATATAGCTCAGCGCAAAGGTCCTGGGATCAAGCCTCAGTATTGGGGTTTGTGGGAGCAGAGATGGGATCTCACTGTGTTGCCTAATCTGGCCCCAAATTCCTGGACTCAACTGACCCTCTTCCCCAGCCTCCCAAGTGCCTGGGATTATAGGCACATCCCACCATACGGACTTTGCCTGATTTTTCTCGATGCATATTTCAGAATATGCATTTTTGGTTGGGAACACATAGCAACTATACTTCGTCCTACTCAGAGTGTGGTATCAGGAGGCCCTGAATGTGGGCTTGTCACATTCACTACTGTTGATACTAGCTGTGGTCACTTGGTTAAGACACTGTCTGTTAGATTTCTCCACCACATGAATTTTCGAGGTAGCTTCCGGTGGCCACCTGCAGAGTCAGGTGAGGAAGAGTGCAAAAGGTCTGTCTGGGACTTGAAGGATCCAGTCAAAAGTCCAAGGCTTGGAGCTCACCGTACAGTACAGTGAGAGCTCCTATCAGGAAGCCCATGGAAGGCTGAAGGGTCTGCGTTGGAAGCCAGGAGACAGTGTTCAAGGTGAAGGCAAAGACTGGAGCTCCTCCAGAGACAAGAGCTAGTCTTCCTTTCCCTTTTTGTTCCACTCAGGCTGCAAGTCTATTGGCTGGCACCACTCACACCCAGGGTGGGTCTCCCCTCTTCAGTAAGTCCACTGAGCCACTTCCATTCAGAACTGTGTTTCCTCAAGTTGACACAACAGTATCACAAGCACTTATTAGATACAACAAAATCTCCCAGGATCATCTCATTTTTTCCTCTGCCCTAGCCTCAGTCATTTTCCAAGGAGCCGGTTTCCTTCAAGGACAGTGACATTTAGAAGCCACAATTTGGGACCATGCTAATTGATTTTGCATGTAGAAGCAGCAGCATTTTGTATGGATTGGATGTGGATATAGAGAAGTCCTATCTTGTCAGAGACCCAGCTCAAACACTCTGAAGTCTTCATAGACACACCCTGAGGCTGACCAGCCCGTTTAACAGTGTCATGTTGTTTGTATTATTCCTACCCCAGCAGTAGGAGATGTGAGTGCTCCCAGGAAGTCCTTACCCCTGGCTGTTGGTAAAGCTGGCTTTGAATCTCATCTTGAGGGCTCTCAAGTTGAGGCTGGGCAAGTCCCTCAACCACTACATGTTTCTTCACTTGTGACGTGAGGGTGATGACAAGGATCTCACAGGGTGACTTTGAGAAGTGATTTCCTCTGACTGCCTAGAGAGGAGGACAGTGAGGGCCAAAGAAACAGAGACCTGTGTAATTTCAATGTATAAGGGTGGCCGGGAGGTCAGTGCCTCAGAGCAGCAAAGACAAAGACTCCCCGAGCCGGCCACCATGTACTGGGTGCACACAGTAATCAGAGGGAGCATCAGGTGACCTGGAGGGCACAGCGATCTCATGCCTGGTCTCACTGCCGATGCAGATCTCACACTGATGAGGGCGGAAAGGAGAGGTCCCCACCTCAGCAGCTGAAGAGCTGTGTAAGACCGCTGTCTTTACCAAAAGTTCTGAGGAGCTGACTATAGTGAAGC